ACACCAGATTGCCTGCGCTTCAGTCCTGAGTCGAGCTCGCTCCTCAATTTTCTGGCCGCTGCACGTTCTCTTTTTGGGCTTACATGGCCTCTAGCCCACCACTCATCGTTTTCATTCCAGTGTTCGACGTTTCGTTCACTGTGCACTCGACTGCGCTCGATCGCAATTAGCACCTCCATCTGCTGCCCGCGCTCGAGGGCCCTCGGCGCCGCTGCCTCTGAATAGTGCTCCTGGACGCTCGCCGGGCTACCGTCCGTCCCACCCACCGCCCATCCCTGCACATCAGTGATTGACGCTTCCTTCACTGCGCTTTCGATTATGCTCGACCGCAGCTCGCACTTCCACCTGCTCCCCGCTTGAGGAACGCCTGCGCCGTCGACTTAAAACGTGTGTGGTTCCGATCTCCTATGCCCTGTCGCCACGCGCAGGGCCGCGACGCCAGACAAGTGCGTGCGTGTGTGCGTGCGTGTGCGTGTGTCTGTGTGTGCGCGTGTGTGTGTGTGTGTGTGTGTGTGTGTGTGTGTGCGTGTGTGTGTGTGTGTGTGTGTGTGTGCGTCCGCCCCGCCGCCGCTTGGCCCTGCTCTGAGCGGGCCCGGCTTCCGTCCCCCTCCCGCCCGCGCCCGGCTCCTTTTCTCTTCCCCCGTGCGCCGCGGCTCAATTCGCGTCTTGTGTGTCCCAGTAATGCTACATCGCCAGAATAGTCCCTCTGCCTAGCCGCCGATGGACTACATATGTATATATATACACATACATATATATATATATATGTGTGTGTGTGTGTGTGTGTGTGTTTGCGTGCGTGCCGATAGGCGCGAGAGCAAAGGGAGAGCGGGGGCTGAAGGTGACGGCGCTGAAGGGTGAAGCTGGTGAGGGTGCAGACGTGGATGGTGACGGGAGGGGTGATGGTGATCGGCGGCGAGCGAGGAGGGAAGTGAGAAGCAAAAGGCCTTCTCAGAAGGCGGCGGGGAGGCCTTCTGGGAGTTTTTCTGTGTCTCCGGGTAAGGCTTAGACAACTTTTCAGAAGGCCGGGGGAAGGCCCGCGTCTCTTCACTTCCCCACAGGCTCGCCGCCGAACGATATCGCAGGACTAGTGAAGATGCGAGTGAAGAAGGGGGAAGATGAAGATGACGATGCTAGTGAAGATGCTAGTGAAGGAGGTTTAAGATGGAGATGGAAGATTCTAGTGAAGATGCTGCTGAAGGAGGTGACAGGGATGGATGCGCTCTGCTCTGCTCGTTTGCACCCGTTGAGGGGTTTTCGTCTTGCACTCAACCGCGGCATCCTGGCCCCCGGTCGCAGGCGAATGATACCTTGAAGTGGGCCCGTAGGCGTCATCATGCTTCATCATGGTCTAACAGCGAATTCGCTGATGAGTTTTTCGAAATTGGCGTTGTCTCGTTGCAGTGGCCCCGTGCAGATGGGTCCCAGGCCACCCGAATAAACTTCATATCTGCCACGACGTGTGTCAAGGCTCCAAGATGCTCCCAGAAGGCCCCATGATCCCCTGTAGGAGGGACCAACATCTCGACAACTTGGCTCCACCTTTAACGCCACCAAGGGGCGTCGAGGTGTTCCGCGAAGAGCTTAATAGGTTTCATTCATGGACACCTTGACGGCGCAGTCAGGGCAAAATCACTCAGTACAGGCACACAAGAAATTGTTCACTCAGGTCGAGAGTGGGGGCAGGTACAGGGACCCCCCAGAGATTCTGGTAGGGTACGATCACAGAGCTGGATTGCGACGTTCAATGATCAGACGACTGGTGTCCCGAACCAGCTCGATAGATGCGCAAAAGCGAGGCTCTGTATGTTGCAATTCTTTTGGAACTTTGCGTGTGGCCGATATTTCGATGTAGGCTACACGAGTAGGGTTCCATGTGTATGTTGTTTACTCCACATGGTAATCACCTGGCAGAAACTAATTACGCGGTCCCAAGAGGCGACGCCTCGACTAGGAACTTGGACCCGTTCAGCAAATCAGTGATTCGTGCCCCCGTTCGCCTCACGGGGTCACTTCTGCTTCTGGAAGGCGGCACCTGTAAGCGTTTGCGGACGTTCATGAATGCATGTGAGCCAAGCGCTTGTCAGCCATAGCGACGTCAGTTGGTGCTTGCGAGTGCTTGTGAACGCCTGTTAGCCACATTGTGAGCTTTCGTGAGTGCCTGCGAGCGCGTGTGAGCGCGTGTGGGCGCATGCGAGCCGTTTTGAGCGTCTGTGAGTTAATGTGAGGGCTTGTGAGCGCCTTTGATTGCCCGCCGGAGCTTGTGAGCAGCTGTGCGCGCATGCGTGTGCCCATGACCGCCTGTGGGCATTATGCATTGATTGCCTGCGAGCGTCTGTGGGCGCCTGTACAGGCTACTCGGCGCTTGTGGACGCCTGTGAGCGCTTGTGAGCTTTGCGCTTGCCAGCGCTTGTGAGTGCTTGGGACTGCTTGTGAGTTCTGGCGATCGCGGGTGAGCGTGTGCGAGTTCTAATAGGCGCCTGTGAGTGCCTTATGCCCTTTTGAACGTTTGCGAGTACCCGTGAGCGCCCGTGGGTGCCTGCGAGCGCATACGAGCGCTCCTGGGAAGCCTACTCTTCTCTTCGGTGGTTCCTATGCACAAAGGGACCCCTACGGGGCACTAAGGCACCTTGGGGAACCACGGGATATTGCGATTCGTCTTGACCCTCAAGTGAAGGCTTGTGGATCTACTGCGCGGTCTTGAAATTTACCCAAGCCCCACCACTCCCCCTCTTCGTCACTCTTTGATGTGCGGGGGGGCGGAGAAAAACGCGCACGAACGCGCGTTCTCCCTGCCCAGGTCGTGGGCAGCCGATGCACGCTTTGACTGAGTGTCTCGACCCTCTCTGCTCTTGTCGACGCGCTTCTGTGGGTGGCAGCAGCATAAGGCCATCTGCGACGTGGTTCTCGAGGAGGACGACAGCGGCAAGCGAGTCTGTGGGCCTCAGGTCGGCATGGGGTGAGACCGAGCTCCGACGGTTGATCTCAGAGGTCACCTGGGAGGCGTTGGCGCCACGTCGCTAATCTTTTTTTCCATGGTAAGGCGCGCGCGTATGCACACATTCACTGTGCACCTTATGGGAAATGCTGGTGATGATAAGGATGAGGATAATGTTGCTGCTGGTTAGTGATGAGGAAGGTGGCGCGGGGGATGAATATCATGGTCGTACCATTGGACATGATAATCATAGTGACCCTCATGCTGGCTGGAGTGATGATGATCCAGTAGGAGCTCGACCACACGAAACCTTTCACAAGAAACCCAACCCTGAGACCCCAGGACGTCTATAGATTTTCGGTGTGGGAGCGTCACGCTTTCCATAGCAGAACCACTGGAACCCAAGAAACCCAGGGCACACTGGAGTCGAGCCCCGCTGCAACCGTGCATTTTAATGGCGCCAACATCACAGAGCGGATTTCGGTCGGAAAACAATAGGGTGGGTCTGGAGTGTCCTGGAGAATTCCGTTCTGGATTTCGAAGTGAATTTCGTGCGCAGGAATGAAGACCAAACAACATTCACGCGAAATTCACTTCGCTTTTCGCTCGCCGTTTCGGAGTTTTGCATCGGCAGAAGTCCACGCGAAAATCCGCTGCAGCACGCCTGCAAGGTCGGCGCAGTGAGCACGTGGTGGTGGGCCAGGGGCCTCTTCTGGGCTGTCCTGGGCCTGTCGGGGGCGGCCAAGAGGGGGGTGATGACTAGGGGGGGGTGGATATCATGGCGTGGGCCATGATATCTCCCCAGATTTCATGGCGCCTCTTCTTATTTCCATTCCGTCCCCGCCCCCCCCCCGGGCCGCGCACATGCCGCCGGCTATGATTTGCGCCCCCCCCCTCTTGGACACCCCCCCACCTCTTGGACGCCCCCCCCCTCTTGGACGCCCCCCCCTCTTGGACGCCCCTCTTGGACGCCCCCCCCTGGGCCGCGCACATGCGCCCCCCCCTCTTGGACGCCCCCCTCTTGGACGCCCCCGAGCCTGGGCCTCTCGGGGGCCTTTCCGTGGCCCTGTCGGGGCCGGATGTCCGGGGCCTCCTCGGGGGCCGCCTCGGGCACCTCTGGGGGGGGGGGGTCCTCGGGGCCCGCAGGCAGTCTCGGAGGTCGTCTCCTGGAGCGGAGGGCTCGAGATGTGTGGTTCGTGCTCCCCCTCGGGGGCCTCGTGTCGGGCCTCCCTTTTCGGGCCTCTCTCTCGGGGCCCTCTTGGGCCGTGGCCTCTCCTGGGCCGTCCTGGAGCGTGGAAGGCCCGAAGCGGCGAGGACGCTGGGATCGTTGAAACACCGGAGGAACCTCAGTGCTTTTGGCCTCTCGGGGCCTTCCTGGGGAGCCTCTTGGGGTCCTCTTGGGGGCCGTCTGGGGGCCATCCTGGGTGCCTCGGAGCGATCTTCGGGCGACCAGGGGCTCTCTTAGGCCGTCTCGGGGGCCTTTCGGGGCCCTCTTGGTCCGCTTTGGGGCCCTCCTGGCTCCGGACAAGCTGTGCGTGAAGACCCAGGGGCGCCCAAGAGCGCCTGGTAGCGCCCGAGAATGCCCGAGAGCTCCCAGGATTCCGGGCCGCGGGCCCTTGCAATATTCTTCCGAACTGAGGATGGAGGATTCTTCTCAGTGACCTGAGGACACTCCAACGCGTGCCCCAGGGCACGGTGGCGGATAATGGGTGCGACGGTGACGGTGGTGGTAACAGTTGTTGTCATATTGTCATGGCAGTGGGGTTTGAGCGATGGCGACTGCTGGGCCATCAGGGAGCTGCCATGAGTTGCGCCCTGTGGCGGCGACGGTGTCAGCATCCGCTCAGACGGTGAGCCGTAGCTCCTGGTAAGATCTACGTAGACTCTGTGAGCTGTTCTATTCGTGCACTTGCTTATCTCCTGTCCGTCAGGCGTGCCCTCCCAGAAAGTGAGCTCAACTCTTGACGCTTCGTGCATCCCCGTCAGCGAATGGAAAGGGGGAGGCAAGCGATCCCCCCCAGCGTGAAGACCACCGCGGCTCCGAAAAGCGAGGCCGCTGGTGGACATAAAAAGCAATACGGCAGCGTCTCTGTGAAGGTCAGCCGCTATCAAGCAACAGACGCCGGCGGGAAGACTAGCCTGCAAGACTGCAGGCCCCAGGACACCTCGCCGCTACGGGTGCTGGCCTCGGGTTCACCCTACCACCACCCACAGTACACGCTGGCCCGCTTGGGCCCGTTTCACCCCGCTGCGCCCGGCCTGTCGGCCGTAATACCTCGGGGCTGCCTACCGCTGGGGCGGGCGGCCGCCCCCCCCCCCCCCGGCGCAGCATAGCTAGACAGCCTCAGCTGGATAGATGCGCGTGGGCGACGCACGGACGCCGCAGCCCACCCGCTACCGCTTTCGGGCGCCTCGACGGGGCACGCCCCTCGGCGCCCGACGCATCTCACCCCCTTGTGCACGCGACTCGTGACTGTAGAGGCCTCGGCCGCCCTGGCAGCAGCTACTTTAAGATGGCAGACGGCCCCCGCCGCACCCCTGGCTGCTCCTCCAGAAAGGAACCGACGAGGCCGACGCTCCCCCCTGACAGGAAGCAGGCGCGGGTAGGGGCTAGCGCTGGTCCAAGGCTGACCACGCCGTCGGCGCCTGGCGGGAACCAGACTGACCCCGGCGGTCGGACGGCCGCGTGGCAGGAGCGGGACAGCTCCTCGGGGTTGCCGGCTTGCCCATTGGCAAGGGCGATGCGCGACAGCCTCCGTGAGACGTCCCCCTCTCGTAGCAGCAGGTGCGGCCCCTGGGGTTTTATCATCTCTGAGCAGCCGTTAGCTGCACCCCTGGTAACCTGGACGCACTTGCAGGTACAGTGATGCCAGTGATGCCGGCAGACCGCCGACACTGGGGCCAGCAGGGCGACAGTAGACAGTGCTACCCTGCGTGAAGCTCTGCTCATACTTCGCCCTAACAGGGTGGGCGCTCGTTGGCCTATACTAAACTCTGAGCAGCCGTTAGCTGCATCCCTGGAATGGGCCCTGGCTCCCGCCCTCTCCCTGTCTCTCCCTGGCGCCGGGTGTCCCTGGCGGGCCCCTCCTTGTGGCCGGCTGGTGATGTCTTTCCCCACCGCCCCCACCACAGGAGGGTCCCTCACGGGCAGGTTGGCCGGTCAGGGCTTCGTGACCCCGCATCGCAACGTGGGAGATCGCCCCCTGGCGCTGTCGCCCCCTGGTGCCTACTCTCCGGCCGCGCTGGCGACGTTCATCCCCGCCAGTCCGGCTTCTCTTCCGCGCCCTACGCGGTTCTCCGCGACGCTATGTCGTGCGTGCGGCCATGGGCCGGGCCCAACGAGCCATCGCCTCCGGGCCGGTTCGTTGCCCTTGCTCGGGACTGGTGGGCCCCACTGGATACGGGCGTGGCGTCTCGGAGTGGTTCAGCCTTCCGTCGTACGCAGTGTTTCCGTCCTGGCTCCGTCCCAGCCGACCAGGCAGGTCTACGCCGTCGACACGGCCCTGGCCCAGCCCACCTGGCAGGTCTACGCCGTCCACACGGTCCTGGCCCTTGGCGCCCCCCGGCGACTCGACCAGCGTTTACCTCGCCTTTCCCCACCACCGTGTCTGTGAGGATCGCACCTGCAGGTAATCCCACCTGTCCCAACCTGCACCTACACCTGAGTGGTCTGACGCCGCAGCGCGTAACACAGAATTCCCTGTCATTTTGCCGCAGGGCTGCACGTTGCCTGAGCTTCCCTGGGCGTTCCAGTTCAGCCAGCCACCCCCCCGGTGCCGCTGCCCCAGCTGCTGCTTTTGTGAGCTGGCCCGGCCGGCTGGTGCTGCGCGCTGCAGCTGATTAGGTTTGCCCGTCGGCCAGGACTCCCTGTTCGCCGCCTGCGCTCTCGCTGGTGGCCGCAACCCAAACAAAACACACATCCCCATCAGCCCATTGAAAGACGGACAGCAGGCGACTTGCCCTGATCAGGGATATAGAGCGTCCTGGTGGTTCCTTGTCGTTGCCCGCGGTGCCTGTAGTACGTCGTGCGAGCCCAGGGTTGCCTTGGTACACTGGTTGCCTTTCGTTGCTCGCCGTGCGTGCATTGCTTTGGGCATGCGAACGCCGACGACGTGCGCGCTGGTCATCCAGCAGGCCAGGAGCGACGGCAAGCAACCGCTCAACCAAGGCAGCCGCGGGAAACGCGGGAAACGCGGGAAGCGCAGGATGATGACGACGACGACGACGACGGCGACGACGACGACGACGACGATGACGACGACGACGACATCAGTCAACCCTCAAGGCCTTCGCAGATCTTTCGCCGTGGGAGCGTCTGGGAGGCCTCTTGGGGCATCGTAGGGCCCAGTTCGGGCTATTTTGGAGACCTCTTGGCCCCCCTTGGTCCTCGCTTCGGTCCTCTCTTGGAGCTCTCTTGGGGCCCTTGGGCACCCTATGAGGCTGTGAAGGTCCTCTCGGGGTCACCTTGGAAGCCATCGGTCACAAGGTGAGCTGCGTCAATTTTGGCCTCCCCGCCCTCTGGGGGCGCTCTGGGGGCGCTCTTGGGGCGCTCTTGGGCGCTTTTGGGACTGCCTTGGGCCCCTCTGGGGCCTCTCTTGGGGCCCTCTCGGGCCATCTTGGAGCCATCTAGGGGCCTCTGGAGCGAATCGAAATCGAACAAAGACAGGCACCAACCATCCATGAACAGCGCAGTGTTCTGACACATTTTGTCCGCTGGAGGCTTCTGTGGGGGGCACAGAAGCACTTTGGGCCGTCCTGGGGCGGTCTTGAGGGCTCGCGGGTGCATGTCATGGTCATGGTCATGGTGGAAGGGAATGTAGGCCTAAAGGCCGCCCTTCGTCTCCCCAGCAGGACCCGGACCCCGGACCCCAACCCCGGAGGGGTGAAGTGCGCCGCGACGAGGCGGGGGCGGGGACCCCGTGCCGGGAGAGGCACGAGGGGGAGCCCGATCCTCCGCCCCACCGCGACGGACCCCACCCCGAAAGCCCCCAGAGCAGAAGAGGTGAGGGAGGGAGAGAAGACCAGGAGTGACGAGGCGGAGAGATCCCCTTGGTAACCGGAGCCCCATACTGGGTGTACCAGGGTCAAGGACCGTACCATGAAGGCGCCTCATCGGAATATCGGACCTTGCGACGCCCGTCCTGGAAGAACATGCCGATGATTGAGGCACCAGCAAGAAATCGAATATTGGCACTCAAGACAGCTTCGCATGCACACCTTCAGAAGCGCACGACACGCACTGTGCGCCGACAGTTCCACACACACACACACTCACCGCCTTCAACCTGGAGCGCCCATACGACCTTCAACCCGGAACGCCCTTAGGACCGTATCTCAGCTGATGGAGTGTGAGCGGAACTCCAACAAGGCATGTGCCGTTGTGAATTCTAGCCCGTCCGGCAAACCTCCCCGCGACGTGCGTCCTCCCCGCCTGTCGGTCAGGAAAGGGGTGCAAGGCCCCTCGCCGCCAGGGGTGCAAGACCCCCCACCCGAGGAGGCGGTGCAAGGCCACCTCCCAGCTCAAAAGGGTGACCCCGGAGGGCGACGACGACCCGACTGACAGGCGAAACGCGCGTACTCCCCAAATGACCACTCCGGCATCTGCCGCCCCCGACCACGAATGCCCCTGGACCTCCCCGCCCGCCCCCCATCCCCCCCCCCCCCACACCCCAATCCAGACGGCACGATACCCGAAAAGGGTCGATTTGCATCAGCGCGGCACCACGGAGAGACACCTTAGGATCGGCCCAGAAGACCCGCGCGAAGACAGAACCAGAGTCTGCCAGCCCCCGGTGATCAGGCGGCAGCCAGCCTTACGCTACCCGGCGTACGGGGGAAGATCCAAAGGAATCCAACCGCCCCCGCACGCACATGGCAGCGAGTCGTACCCTCCCGCCCCCGCGCAAGTTCGAAGCGACACGTCGCGGTGTGAAACAAATGAGGGAGCCGCAGCCAAGTGCCAGAGCAGGGGGTCTCCATTCCACTCCGCACCCGGCCCCGCACTACACCATGGGGGCGACTGCGGGGGCCACTCAGGCCGAGGGGAACCTGGGGGCCCCCCGTCCTGGGGTTGGCCGCCCTCGAGCGCTGGCCCACGTGTCAATCGGCACTGTACCCCGAGCACCCTCGGGCGCCCGAGAGGCGTTGCCCCCGGCCCAACCGGGCGGTTTGGGCACTCACGGGCCTGGAGAGTCGCCGTACCGTGCAGCGCAGCAACCGAGACGCGAAAGGGCTCCCGACGGGAAGCAAAGAAGCGCGCAGCCCCCGCCCAACAGTGCTCCCGTCCGACTTGGCGGTCTGTGGACGTGCCGGCGTAGCTGGCTAGGCCACGCCCGGCACCGCGGCCCCGGGAGCAGGGCGTAGGCCGGTGAGAACTACGGGCGCGCCCCCCAACGCCATACCCAATGCTTGGACGTGGCACTTCTCTCCGCAGACCCGAACCCGGCACGCACCAAACCTAGCACACGTGCCACGCCGCGCAAGACACACAAGCACATACATACGTGTCAAACGCGCGCAACACACAAAAGCGCGCACGCGTGCGCAAAAACACTCTACCCGTCTGTTGCCAATATTCGTAGTTCCGCCGTGCCTTGAACAACTTTGAACAACTTTGGGACGCTACCTTGAACAACTTTGGGATATTTGGATCGATCCTGGAGGTTATCTTGGGCTCACTCTGGCCCTTCTGGGGGCCACCTGGGGCCAAAAGGGACGCCCTGATACCTCGCGGGGCGCCCCATCCAGACCCAGGGCGAGTGGGTAGGGAGAGGGGGACCGCCCTTCCCCGAGGGGGAAGAAGGGGGTGGTAGAACGGGCTCCTCGGACCACTCACGCCCAGAGGGCTGGTGGGATTCTCTCCTTGTATACTGGTCTGCCTTAAGATTCCAAGTTCGCCCGCGATCGTAGGTCAGATTCTGGACCCAGGATGCGGCTTGCTCATTGTTTCACGTATTTCTCACTGGTAGATACTCTTGGCAGTGCTGCGCTGGTGAATGTCGGCTGCCAGGTCATCATCGGCGGAGCCATGAAGTGCGGCACGAACACGTTGGCGAGCCCTGCGCCCCTCTTGGGCTGGTCTCCGAGCAGCCCTTGCAGCCCAACAGAAAACAGAAACAGTAGTCTTGCAGTCAGAAGTCAACATTTTGAGTCTTGAGGCCGCAGGGAGCACCAACAATGCACTGTGAAGCCCACGTTCACACCGCTAGTCAGAGGTGGCCGCATGTACATACACACATGTCTGAACGCACATCGAGCGAGTTGTTCATATTTTACGGAGGGGGGAAGGTCATTCGCTAATGGCTCCTTGGGCTCTGGTCGGGACGGACGTCCTGAAGTGGAATGCTCTCGATTTGCCGTGGCCCGTCCGTCCTCACGCACCAACTTGCTTGATAACTTCGGCTGCGTCGGGCCCGGCGCAGGCTCAGGGGGGGTGTTCGCTCACACCATGGTTCGGGCAAGTCTCGACAGCCTCGAGGGCGCGAAGTTGTTCGCGCTTCGCGCTTCGCGGTTCTCGCTTCGCGGTTCGGCTACGATTCCTCCTCATCCTCTTCTGCTCCCCCGAAGGGTTGCGCGAGAGCGCAAAGTTACTCGCGCTTCGCGCTTCGCGTAGCGCGAAACGCGAATCTAGGCGCTCTTGTGGAAGGACTTAAGACATTGGAGGGATGGGTTCGGAAGTGCAGTTTGCAGACGAGCTGTACAGGTACTGCCTGGTCAAACGGTATGTCTATGGCCAGCCCGCGCTGGGCCCGACTTGTCCATGTCCACGCCCCGTCAGACTTGCTCTCGGTAAACCAGGGGAAACCTGATCACAGGGATGGGAGGAGTGACAGGGCGACCGCCCGAACGAAGACACGGGTGCTCGCCTAGGGTTTGGCCAGGGAGGAGGAGGAGGAGGAGGAGAGGAGGAGGAGGAGGAGGAGGAGGAGGAGGAGGAGGAGGGGGAGGAGGAGGAAGAGGAGGAGAAGGAGGAGGATGAGGAGGAGGATGATGATGATGAGGAGGAGGAGGCGGAGGAGTCGGAGGAGGTGGATGATGATGATAATGATGATGATGATGATGATGATGATGATGATGATGCTGATGCTGATGCTGATGCTGATGCGGATGCTGATGCTGATGCTGATGCTGATGATGATGCTGCTGCTGATGATGCTACTGATGCTGATGCTGATGCTGATGCTGATGCTGCTGCTTATGATGATGATGCTGATGCTGATGCTGGTGATTATGCTGATGATGACGATGATGACGCCGATGATGATGCTGATGACGATTATGATGATGCTGCTGCTGATGATGATAATGCTGATATTGATGCTGATGCTGTTGCTGGTGATGACGATGATGATGATGGTGCTGACGATGATGATGATGATGATGATGATGATGATCATGATGATGATGATGATGCTGATGATGATGATGATGGCGTTGCTTCTGATGATGATGATGATGCTGGTGACGATGACGATGACGATGAAGATGATTATGCAGATGATGATGCTGCTGATGATGATGGTGATGATGATGAAGATGTTGCAGATGCTTATTATGATGATGATGATGATGATGATGATGATGATGATGATGCTGATGATGATGGCATTGCTTCTGATGATGATGATGATGCTGGTGACGATGACGATGACGATGACGATGATAATGCTGATGATGCTGCTGCTGATGATGATGATGATGAGGATGTCGATGAAGATGTTTATGCATATGCGGATGCTGATACTGCTGCTGCTAATGATGAGGTTGATGATGCTGATGCTGATTTTGCTGATGATGCTGATAATGATGATGCTGATGATGATGATGATGATGCTGATGATGATGATGACGATGATAATGCTGATGATGCTGCTGCTGATGAGGCTGCTGATGATTCTGATGATGATGATGCTGATTCTGATGATGTTGGTCATGATGATGATGATGCTGATGATGATCACGATGATGATGATTCTGATGATGATGATGCTGGTGATAATGATGATGAAGATGATGCTGATGATGATAATGCTGATGCTGATGATGACGATGATGATGATGATGATGATGATGATGATGCTGGCGATGATGATGATGATGATGATGATAATGATGATGATGACGATGATGATGATGATGATGATGATGATGATGATGATGATGATGATGCTGTTGATGATGGATTTGCTGATGATGATGCTGATGATGCTGATGATGATGATGATGATGATGATGATGCTGAATGATTGATGATGATGATGATGATGATCGATGATGAGATGATGTTGTGATGATGATGATGATTGATGATGATGATGATGATGATGATGATGATGATGATGATGATGATGATGATGATGTCGATAGCTGTGATCATGGTGTCGATCTGATGCTGATGCTGAGATGTTGATGATGATGATGACGGATGATGATGCTGATGTGATGCTGATTGCTGATGCTGATGCTGATGAGGTGAGGGTGACGACTAGGTGGGGTGAGGAGGGGAGGAGGGAGGCGGAGGAGGAGGAGGAGAGGCGGAGGAGCAGGAGGAGGAGGAGGAGGAGGAAGGAGGAGGAGGAGGGACGTGCGGGGGTGGTGGGGTGGGGGTGGGGGGCAGGTGGGGGTGGAGGGGGCGGGGGCGGGTCAGGTGGGGAGGTAGGGGGAGGAAGGATAGTGTCGAGAGGGATTGATGGAGGGAGGGCTGAGGGGAGGAGGGAGGACGGAGGTAGGGGGGAGGAGAGGAAGGAAAGAGGGGAGGAGAGGGGAGGAGGGATGGAGGGGGGAAGAGGGAGGGCGGTGGGGATGAGGGAGGAGGATGGACGGGATGGAGGATGGAGGATGGAGGAGGGAAGGAAGAAGGAGGGAGGATGGGTGGCGAGGATGAGCGCGGGGGCGCGGGGAGGGGCGATGAAGGAGGATGGTATGAGGGAGGAGGGAGGACGGAGGAGGGAGGAGGGAGGGAGGGGATGATGGAGGGGGGGAAGGAGGAGGGAGGGAGGGAAGAGGTGAGGGAAGGGGGGGGGAGGGAAGGAGGGAGGGAGGGAGGGAGGGAGGGAGGGAGGGAGGGAGGGAGGAGGAGGGGAGGAGGAGGAGGAGGAGGACGTGGAGGAGGAGGAGCTGAGCTGGATTCGCTGTCCTCGCCGCCGCGGCCTTTGTCTTTTTTGCGTTTGCTGGCCGCCTGCCCTACAGCGGCCGCTGTGGGTTTTTGTGTCTGCCTTTGTTGTTGGGCATTGTTCCCATTCTTTCGGTACCTATCTCGGGTGTCCAAACAGGCGGGACCCAACCCAGCAGCAGCGGGCCGGCGGGGCCAGATGCCGGTGCGGCCCTCGTGCCTCCCACTGGTGCCCCTGCGCAGGTGGATCCTGAGGCGGAGACTGTCCCAGGCCTCCCTGGTCTCCCCGCCGAGTCTGCCATGGCCCCTGGCCGTGTGCCGGCTCAGCCAGCAGCGGTCCCCGTGCCGCCGCCGCCGGTCTTTGGGGCCTTCCTGAACGCCGCTGCTCTGCCCTCGTCCAGCTCGTCGTCGTCGTCGTCGTCGTCGGCGGCGCCTGGCTCGCCTCTGTCACCGGCGCCTCCGGCTTCGCCTGGCGCCCCGCACTGCAGCGGCGACGCGGCATGCAGCGAGGGGCCTCTCAGCTCACTGCTGGCGGCGGCAGCTGCGCGCACTTTGCCCTCGCACCCTGGCGTCTGCAACTCGGCCTACTCGCTGGCGCTCCTGGCCGCGGTCGGCCTCCTACCGGCAGAGACCTTGGCAGGCTGGCTCGCCCATGCATCCATGGGTCCGCCCTTCGCTGGCCTGGTGCAAGAGCTCGTGGGAGCATCGGCGGTGCCCTCCTCGGATCTCGTCTTTGCTCTGCAGTCCTTGGCTGCCGCCGCGCCCGGGCACGCCGCGCCTGCGGCCTTGGCGGCCGCTGCCCTCTTCGGGCGGCTGGCGCGCCCCGTGGGCCTTGCAGAGGTGGTCCACACCCTCCTGCTCGGGGCCAACTACCTGGACCCCTTGGTCGCCGAGGTCTTGGTGGCGGTGTACGGGGGCTCTGCACAGGGTGCCGCTGCTGCCCTCCGTGCCGCAAGTCTGCGCTGGGCTGCGGGCGCAGCGGGCGGCAGCTCGAGCGGTTCTGCGGGGGCCAGCCCGGGCCTGGCACCGGCGTCGCAGGCCACTCCCCCGTGGCGCAGTCCGCCCGCCGCCCCTCCGCCTCTGGGCGGCCCCGCTGCGTCCTCCTCTGGCCCGCCGCCTGCGTCGCTGGGGATGCCCGCGCCCCAGCCTCTTCCGCCTGCGCCGGCCAGTTCCGGGCGGCCGTGCTGCCCGCCCCCGTCGTCTGACCCCGCCGGCGGCGCCCGTGCTGCCTTCGCCTCCGCTGTCCCCCTCGTCCGCCTGCTCCTGGCGGCCCAGCGGCCCGCCCTCATCGTCCGTCTCCTTGCCGGCGGCGCCGGCGCAGCACCAGCCCCAGCAGCCTCCCGCGCCTTCCGGCTCTTCGCGGCGGTCGCGGCGCTACACCGGCGCTGACCCCGGTAGCGCCCGCTTCCGCCGCGGGCTCCCTGCGCGTGCTGACGGGCGCGCGCTCACAGAGCAAGAGGTCCTTCAGTTGGCTGCCGCCTGCGGGCTCTACACCGACTCCCGCCAGGCATTCTGGCTCTTTGGCACAACGGGGCCCGGATCGGCTTGGCGCTCCGTCCGCTCGGCGGCGGTGGGGTGATCAATTTTTGGCTCCGGCAAGCCAAATTGACCATCGCCGGCAACACGGAGGTCCGAGAGCGGCTCCTCGAAGCAGTGCTTGCGTGGACCGTCCCCTGGGTTGGGAACCAGCCCCGGCCCCACGCCGCCGCGGCGCCTCCGCCCCCGCCCAGCGCTCTGGGCGCGCCGCCCGCGCTGGCCCTCCACGCTCCTGCTGCCGCCACGGGCCTGGCCGCCGCTGCCCCCCCGACGGCTGCTGCTGCTGCCTCCCCGGCCGGGGCCTCCCGCCGCCGCCGCCGCCGCCGCCTCCGCCGCCTCCGCCGCCGCTGCCGCCGTCGCCGCCGCCGCCGCTGCTGCCGCCGCCGCCGCCGTCGCCGCCTTTGCTGTCGTCGTC